AAAATCCCAGAAAATCCCAGAAAATCACAAAAAACTGAAAATCTCAAAATATTACCGAAAATCACCCGAAATACAAAGAATATACACAAACTACAAAGAAATGAAAAAAAAAAGATAATGCAGAGAAAAAGAATAAAGGAATTTCGTCATGTCAGCGCGGTATCCAACGGGCCCTGAGTCTCCGGCTGGATCAATGACAAGGCAGACGGGGTTGCAAGGAAGGGGGGGGGGAGGGAGGGAGGCAGGGAGAGAGGCAGGGAGGGAGGGAGGGGTGGACGGGGGAGAGGGGCAGGGAGGGAGGGAGGGTGGAGGTGGGAGAGAGGGAGAGAGGGAGGGAGGGGTGGAGGGGGGAGAGAGGGAGGGAGGGAGGGAGGGGTGGAGGGGGGAGAGAGGAAGAGAGGGAGGGGCGGAGGAGGGAGAGAGGGAGAGAGGGAGGGAGGGTGGAGGTGGGAGAGAGGGAGAGAGAGAGGGAGGGGTGGAGGAGGGAGAGAGGGAGGGAGGGTGGAGGTGGGAGAGAGGGAGGTGTAGAGGGAGGTAGAGGAAGGAATGGACAGAGAGAGGGGAAAGAGGGAAGAGAGAGAGGGGGAGGAGGGAGGGAGGAAAGAAGGAATGGAGGAAAATAGTGAAGGGGAGAAGGTATGGAGAGAGAGAGATGGATGTAGGGTGGGGAGATGAGAAGGAGGCAAGAGGGAGGAGAGAAGAGGGATGGAGGGTGGGGAGGAGAGAGGGGGTGGGATGGAGGATATGAAGGGAGAGTGGTGGAGGAGAGAGAGAGAGAGAGAGAGAGAGAGAGAGAGAGAGAGAGAGAGAGAGAGAGAGAGAGAGAGAGAGAGAGAGAGAGAGACGCAGGGAGGGAGGGAGGGAGAGCGTTGAAGGAGGGTAGCTGAGGGATGGTGTGATGGAGGGAGAGGGGGGGGAGGGGAAGGCTGGAGAGAGAGAGAGATGAGGACGAGGAACGGAGGAGGGTGGAAGGGACAGTGAAGGGGAAGGAGGGGTGAAGGGAAGAGATGACGAGGAAGGATGGAAGGAGAGAGGTGGAGAGGAAGGAAGGAGGAACGGAGAGAGAGAGGAAAAAGGAGAGGTGTAGGAGAAGAAGGAAGGAGGGATATAAGGGGGTGGAGGAAGTGAGGAAGAGAAGAGGAGAGAGGAGAAGGAGGAGGGGTGGAGGAAGTGAGGAAGGGAAGAGGAGAGAGGAGAAGGAGGAGAGGTGGAGGGAGGAAGATAGGAGTAAGAGGGGAAGGGATCTGATGTATGTGTGTGAAAAGAGAGGAGAGGGGAGAAGAGAGGGGGGGCAAGTGTGGGGGAGAGGGAGGCCAGTTGAGGGCAGAAGGGGGAAGAGTCGAAAGGGGGGGGGGGCAAAAGGAGAAACAGTTGTCGAAAACAAAACCACGAAATCACAACAACGTAGGATATATGTGCCAAGTTTTTTTTTCTCTCTCTCTGATTCTATACTTCATGCATTTCTCTCTTTCTCTCTTTCTTTCCTCTCTCTCTCTCTTTCTCTCTCTCTCTCTGTCTGTCTCTCTCTCTCTCTCTTTCTTCTCTCTTTCTTCTCACTTTCTCTCTCTCTCTCTCTCTCTCTCTCTCTCTCTCTCTCTCTCTCTCTCTTTTGTTATGGATTTATCTTCCTATTCGCGACGTTCCCAGAAGGGACATGGGAGAGTGAATGAGTAATGGAAGAGAAAGAGAGCGAGAAGAGAGAGGGAGGGATGAACGAACAGAGGGAAGGAAGGATGGAAATGTAAGTGGAATAAGCTAGGAAGAGAAGGAGGAAAAAGGTAAGAAGAGAGGACTCAGAAAGGGAAGAAGTGCGGAGAAGAAATGAGTAAGTGGGTGAGTGAATGAAGGGATAAGAGAGCGAAAGAGAGAGAGTAAGAGAGAGAGAGGAAGAGAGAGAGAGAGAGAGAGAGAGAGAGAGAGAGAGAGAGAGAGAGAGAGAGAGAGAGAGAGAGAGGCAGAGAGAGAGAGAGAGAAAGAGAGAGAGGCAGAGAGAGAGAGAGAAAGAGAGAGAGAGCGAGGGAAGAGAGAGAGAGAGAGAGAGAGAGAGAGAGAGAGAAAGAGAGAGAAAGAGAGATAGAAAGAGAGAGAGGAACGCTGGTGAGTGAGGAAGGGAGTGGGGGAGTTGGCGGGTGGGAGGACGGGCGGACGGGCGCGCGGGCGGGCGGGTGGGCGGCTTGAAGAACTGTGGGTGTGGCCACGATCCCTCCTGACATGCCACGGGCCTTTCGCAATAGCCGGGCGTCGTAGAACCGGTTTCGTGAGATCGAGATTTCCTCTGCCGATAAAGTCTTCCTTGCTACGTCGACGCGGACAGCTTAATTCTTTTGAGAGGTTTAAGATGTAGTTAACGATAGGTTTATAGGGGAGGGATAATAATAAACTGTCTTACTTCTGTTATCGTCGATATTTTGTTATTGACTTGGTTGTCTGCTTATTCATTCATTGAGCTAAATTCTTTCTTTCTCTCTCTCTTTATCTCTCTTTCTCTCTTTCTCTTTCC